TTTTTTTTTTGGGGGGGGGGGGGTGGACCCAAAGGTACAGTTGGGTTATGTTGTGGAGGTCCAAGTTGCTGCTGACAAAATGGGATGAAGACGGTACTCGTCAGCAAAGGAAGCACGAGGGTCGAGGTACCACCAGGCTACCCAGGCCCATACAGGAGCAATCGAAATGCAGAAGGTTGGTTCGAACTACAGACCTTCTGGCCAATAAGTTCCTCCCCTAACCACCGAGCCATCTCAAGCCTCCAAGGAATTCAAGGGAGGGACAATACATCCACTATCAGAAGACATGTGTAAAACTGTAAAACAGTAGCCTAGAATACCTTTTTAGTCTGAGGCAACGTAAGTCTAATTGCCCGGTTGTCAAAGTTTGGTGAAGATCGGGTGGAGTTGTTTGAACGGTTTACTCTTACCCACTCCTCAAAACATCGGTGAACCACACTGGGGCAGTCATAACTACACTGCACAACCATACGCGGTTGATGATTATGTCGATAAAAGACTATACCCACAAGTTCGAGATTTCCGTGCATCTCTGCGCTTAGGTGGTCCCTTCATTTAGGGGCTTCAAATTGTTTTCTATCGCAAGATAAAACGGTTTTTTTTACCCTAACTTGGGGAATATCGTATACTGGTTTGGAATTTCCTCCTACTTGTCGTCCATCGTGATGATCCACGACTGCCTTGATCCAAGGAAGACGACGTGGACCTTACTCTGGTCCGCTTGGTCGTATTTTGTCTTGGATTGTTTGATACAACCCCGTTGTGTGGCTCATTTGTTAGAGCGCGAATTAACTGACCGGAAAGTCCCTGCTTCGAACCCGACCTCTGCATCTTGACTTCTGTCTACGCGTCGGCAACCCGGCCGTCGCGCGTTTTTTGGGTGGCATAGTAGCTGGGCACTGAAAAGGTGTTACAGCTGAACGGTTGTCTTTTACCATTATCTACAACGTTGTTCTTGTCACGTGACAAATGGAAGTAGGCGGTATCCGGCTAGTACGTTAGCTTTCATTACTCTCCTGTTTATGTTGCATGAGTCGCACAATGACTCGCCGTAACGCTCAGGACATCCCGGACAGTTAAACCTACTACGGTGCTAGAGGTGATTATGCGGGCCAAACAGTACGCTAGTACTAGTTGACCATATTTGTGTGCCTTGCTTGCGTCTCATGGGTGATGCGGACCACCAGACCACCTTTCGCAGATCTCAACTGCTCACTTGTTCACACCGCAAGTATTAGCCAGCAGTTGGGCGTACTGATAGCCTGAGAACTGTTCCCATCTATTCACCATCAAGTGTAAACCGATTACAGTGCGTTCAGATGGATAGAAACCCGCCAACCGCGTGAGCGCAAAGGTCCCGCATCTTCCCTCAATGTGGCGGACCGGTTCTGTAACACACTGGACCATTGTTGGATATAAAGTTACCCCGTTGGACTCCGGCCACGGAATCTTAGGCCGAAAAACACCCCTCAAGGGGTTATAAATGGCGAAGCGGCGAAAGCTTCGACCTCATATCCTTTCACGGTTCACGTGAACTCTTGGACCTGCAGGCGATCGGATTCACCTTGCCAACGCGCTGGTATGTCAAAAACACTACGAGGACGGACCGTCCGGTGGACAGTCGTCCCATTCTACATCGCACTGGTCATCGTCTGAACGGATGTCTGCTTTTGCATGTGTCATTGTGCGAGATTTCATCAGTGTTTTTAGCCTGACCTTTGTTAGTGGATACACACACACTTGGTATTCGTGCACCAGTCTGCATACCTGTGTGATTTTCATAGACTTGCTTGTTCAAGTTTTCGCAATGCGATAAAGCCAGTTGGTGCACACAGACCCGTTGAGATAGAAAACAACTACTGTATTGATCGAATTAATTACCACCGTTCTCATCTCCACCAGTCGTCTCGTGCACGAAAGAAATGTGAGGGATGGAACTTCAGGGAAAGTCTGTCCTTCCTATGGATGGCAAGCTTTTCGAACGGGTGCCAGTGGCCCTTCAGGATGACCATTCGTCAGTCATTCCATCTCAAGTTAAAATCCTGCACCTCCGAGTGAACGGAGCTCGGAAGGCCACAGAGTTGACCACACTGTGTGATGATGACTACTCGAACCCACATCTTCTGTAGCAGATGTTGACGATAAGTAATCAAACAGGGAGCATGAACTTCGCACCCATTACTGATTGACCCAGGGGATCAAAATCGTTTTTTGACGTCCCCAGTCAACTGTGAGATAACCACAGTAAAGGCCGCAAGCATTTTGGCTCAATTAACGCAATACGGACAAGATCAGTATCAATAACAGTAATAATAAAAGTCGCTTAGTCGTAACACCCTCCCGGTGTCATGCCATCCGAAGAAAGCAGAGGGGAGCTGAGATAACGCCAGATTACCCAAGTCCAGACGGGAGCTGTCGAAATGCAGAGGTTGGGTTCGAATCATCGGCCTTGTGGTCACTGAGTTTGCGCCCTAACGACTAATCTATCTCGAGCTGTATCTCGAAACCGATATATATA